AATACTTGTGTTGTTGGCACACCAAACAACTGGCCACAATCTGTCACAGACTTTTTCATCCCTATCCAAAAAAATGATTGGGCTATTTTCAGTATGTTTTATACACTCCCGAATGGCCTCCTGTGTTTGTTGAATGGAATTCAGTCAGGAGCTTGGGAATCAACACTGAATTCACAGATAACACCAACCTTCCTTTATAATGCAATCGATCCTGCTTCAGTGTATAGGCCAATGAGTATTAGGATACCTCTAGATATCATCAATCACCCTCTTCAGCATCTCATCCTCCTCTACCTCCTTCAGCACTTCTTGGAAATCCTGCCAGTATGGTCTAGTTATCATTCTCAACTCCCTTTCCTCCTCATCCCATTCTCCTTTGCAGGACAAAGCATCAGCCACCCGGTTATTTTTTTCCAGCCTTATATAGGATCTCAAAATCATAGCCCAAGAGTTTTGCCATCCAATTTTGTTGATTCTGGGTGGTTATCCTCTATTCTAGCAGGTATTTCAAACTTCTCTAATCCGTATGCACAATAAATTTCTGCCCCAACAGATATGGCCTCCAGTGTTGAATTGTCAAAACTAAAGCCATCAATTCCTTTTCATAAATAGATTTGTTTAAGGACCCTTCAGACAACGCCTTACTGAAATAAGCAATGGGCATCTACATCTTCCCTTGTGTCAAAATCGCCCCAACACCTCCTCCGAAAGCATCACACTCGATATGGAAGGTTTGGCCAAAATCTGGGAACGTCAAAACTGGGGCAAAGGTGACAACCTCCTTTAATCGTGCCATGGCAGCTCTGGCTTGCTCACTCCACCCAAACTACCCCTTTTTCAAAAGTTCTGTCAAGGGTTTTGCAATCTTTTTGTAGTCTTTCACAAAACGCCTATAGTAACCCTCTCAAGGCTTTCAAAGTTCTCGGTTCTTCCTACTCCAAAACTGCCCTGATCTTATCCTGATCTATCTCCACACCCTTTTTCTGAAATATGGTGGCCCAAGTATCGGATCTGCTTTCTCCCGAACTCACGCTTCTTTTTGTTGGCCACCCACTTATGTTGTTCCAATCGCTTTAACACCACTTTCACTTGCTCCAAGTGATCCTCCCAAGTAGGGTTGTATACGAGTATATCATCGAAAAAAACCAGCACAAACCTCCTAAGATACTATTGCAACAAGTTAATTCATTGCACTCTGGAAAGTGGTTGGCGCATTGGTGAGGCCGAAAGGCATCACTAAGAACTCAAAGTGGCCCTGGTGAGTCCTGAAAGCTGTTTTGGGCACATCCCCTTCTCCCATCCTAAACTGATGATACCCAGCTTTTAAATCTATTTTAGAAAAATATTTAGCTCCTCTCAGTTCATCTAAGAGCTCCTATATCACCAGGATAGGAAATTTATCTAGTATGGTTGCTCTGTTTAATGCTTTTCTTTTTAGAGTATGGGCTAGTGTTAGGTCTGACTATTCCGGCTCTCAACATACTTGCCACCTATTTCTCAATCTATCCCTTCATGAGATGGGGGTATCTATATGGATGCATGTTTACTGGATTTGCCCCTTCCTTAAGGGGAATTCGATGCACCATATCTCTGTTTGGGGGCAGCCCTTGTACCTCCTAGAAGACGCTGGAATATAGCTTCAGAATTTCTTCCAGCTCCCCCTTTTGTGCTTCAGTCAACTCCATCTGCCCCTCTCTTTCCTCCTCCTTCTCAACATGACCCAAATCCCATACTAACGTCTAGGCTTCAACCACTATTAGCTTAAGCAAGGCTTTAGGCTCTACCAGTTGCCTGGCCAAAGTAGGATCTCCTATGATATTCACCCTCTTGCCTCCTTGGCTGTAATTCATGGTCATTTCTCCCCAATTTAGCATCACTTCCCCAGCTTGGATAACCATTCCACCCCTAGAATAACCTCAACACTGCCAAGCTCAAACAGGTGTAACCTCTCCTCAACGTCAGCCCTCCCTAAATTGATCACCACCTTCTCACAACACCCGCGGGTCTTCTTTCTTTGCCCATCACCCAGACTCACTTGATAAGGTGGCATATCTTCTATGGGAAACTTCAACTCCTCTGCTAATTTTCGACTGATAAAGTTGTAACTTGCGTCATTATCTATGAGTACTAACACTTTTCTTTCTCTGATCCTTCCTACCAATTTCATCGTTTTGGGTTGAGTCAACCCCTCCGCTGAAAACGCTGACAGTTTCTGGTCCTGGTCTGCCACCTCTACACTTACGTCTTCCTCCTCGTCCTCCGCCAGGAGCACCACTCGTAAGCTCCTCTCTGGATAATGGTGGCCAAGTGCGAAAGGACCCCTACACCGAAAATAGTGTCCCTCTTCCTTTCTCTTCAAAAATTCTAGATAAGGAAGGTTTCTCACCATTCTTCCCCTATTATCGGTTCCACCAGTATTGCTCGCCCTCATGCTAGCATTCGTCGCGACCCTTCTCTCCTCACTGAACCAGTACTTTCCGTCCCTCTTGGTCGACTCTAATTAGGTCGACTGATTTCGTTTCGCGATACTACTCTCGTTGTGCGCAACCTACTTTTAGTATTCTTGAACCCATTCCAACTTCCCTCTCTCACTCCACGCGTAGTGTCCTTCACGTCCCTCGCGATTCTCATTGCCACCATCAGCTCTTGAGGATCGTGAGTTTGAACCTGCCCCTTAATGTCCTCGCGCAGCCCATCGAGGAAATATCCCAACATCTGCTCCTCTGAAACACCATGGGTTTGTCCCACCAAGATGTCAAACTCTCGGATATAGTCTTCTACGGTGTCCACCTGTCGCAGCGTCGTCAGTCGTTCAAACACCATCCCTCGATATATACCTCCAAACCGGCTGATCATGGCTGCCTTAAGGCCTTCCCAAGAACGATTCTTGGTATTTTCTTTCCAAACTTGAACCATTAACTCGGGCTGCCTTCCATGCTTATGTATGTGAGATTCACCTTCTCTTCCTCCGCCACGCCCTGAATGTTGAAAAATCTTTCCGCCCGATTGATCCAATTTAGAGGGTCCAACCCTTCGAATGTGGGTAAGTCCATCCTTTTCCTCCAATTATTCTACACCTCCTGGTGATCGTTGCCCCTTCTTCCTTATATTTCCTCCTCGCGCCTCTGCTGGTTGTCGTTGATGGAGGTTTGACTTCCGTCTGAACGACCATCGTTGTTGTTAGCCTACGTTTCCATCATCTCATTAGTTGTTGCAAATCCCGACGTACTGCGACGGATTCCGCCTTCATCCCCTCCATCGTGATCTCCAGTGCCTCCAATCTTTCCTCCGTGCTTCCCTTCATTCTCGTTTCGCGCCCAATTTGGAATTTGGCAGGTCAGACCAAATTGTTAGGTTTCTACTCTAGAAACCTCCACAGACTAACACGATTCAGTCTGCACACATACACTCAGCAAAAGAATAACCTTTTCTTGTATTGACAGTAACAAGAATACAATGTACAGATAATCAAATGAGAGTCTAACCTCCCCCACAGGATTAACAATTCCTGTTAGAAACACAATTGATCAAAAAGTCCCCCTCCCTCAACTAACCGAGTGCTATTTATACATTCTTATTCCCGTCTTTCCTAACTCCTAAGGCAGTTAGGCAATTAATGTTTATTTCTTCTCTTGTACACTCTCCATGTCCTAACATTGATCATCAGTGTTTTCTGTTGTTATACTCAAAAATGTGAAAGAAGCACTTGATTATCCTGGATGACAACAAGCTATGATTATAGAAATGTAGGCTCTTGACCACAGTAATACTTAGGAGTCGGTACCCCTTCCCCCAAGCAAAAAGGTGATTAGTTAATGATAAGTGTATACAGTTAAAGTCGGTCCTAATGGTGAAATTGATCAGCTCAAAGCCTAACATTTTGCAAAAGGTTACACTCAGGTTTATGGTCTTGATTATTGTTACACTTTCTCTCCTGTAGCCAAGATGACTATTATTTGTCTCTTCTTTACCATGGCAACCATTTGTCATTGGCCACTTCATCAATTGAATATCAAGAATGTCTTCCTACATGGTGATTTTGAGGAAGAAGTTTATATGAAGCAACCTTCTGCATTTGTTGATCAGGGATTTTTATTGCAAACTTGAGTTAAAATGCAATGAAGCAGACCATTCGATTTTTTACTGTTATTCTTCTCTTGGGAAATGTGTTAACTTAATAATATATGTTGATGATATTGTCATTACAGGAAATGATGTTGTTGGAATATCTCAACTAAAAGAGTACTTGTGTAGACATTTTCAAACCAAGAATCTTGGAAGTCTCAAATACTTCTTAGGCATTGAAGTATCGCAATCAGAAGATGGAGTTGTAATCTCCCAAAATAAGTATACTCTTGATATATTACAAAAAAATAACTATAGTATCATAGCCAAATTAGAGTCTATCCTAGCAATATTTATTAGACATATTGTTTCACCAGCAGACCATTAATAATTTAAAATATATAAATGAGTACAAACCTCAACTTACAAACCGGTTATAAGATTAAGTTAGACTTAAAATTCACTTTACAGGTAGCATTAATAATTTCATCAAATTCACTTTTTAACATACCAATAGGTAGCATTAATAATTTCATCGTCATCTCACAATTTTACAGTGAAATGAGAACTAATTTTGGATAACGGAAGTCTAAAAGGTGAAATTTGAGGTGTCACTGCAATGAACAGATGAAAATTATTATTCAAAGGGCCTTGGTCTTCTGCAGCCAAAATACTCTACAGCCACAATGCTGCAAAATATGAACCATGATGGCTGTTGCAATAGAAATTAACAAAGAGAGAGAGAGAATATGATCAATGGTTAATTCTTGCTGTTTAGCGAGAAAAGGATCTGTTTTCTGGATATAATGAAAAAATTATTCAGTAATTCAAGAAGAAAGATTGTCATGATTTGTTAATATAATGAGCTTCGGTTGATATAACAATTAACAATGCATACCTTTGGTGCAAATTACAAAACAAAAGTGAGCACGATCGAGTAAGACCATAGTTGCACTCCTAGAATATGCACATATAATCAAATGAAATCATGGTCCACGTAAAATCTTGCACAATCTAATTACGAGTATATCAACTACAAGTTGTGAGTATATTAACTGTAGATTACGAGATTTCGTCCAAAAACATTTATCCCAACCCCATTTACTCTCAAGACAGGGAAGAACTCAGTTTACCCACAAGGGGTAAGTTTCTTATTTCCTGCACCTCGTGGATTATCATCCTTCCAGTCATCCCAAGCCCTTGCTTTCTCTTGTGCTGCATCGTCATCTTCATCATCATCATCTTCTCCAGGCTTTGACTTCCTATCATTGTGCCAAGATGAATTGGCTTCTTCCATGAGTTTGACATTTCTCTCTTGCCATTTATTCATTATTTCCATTTCTTTTAGTCCAGCTTCCTCAATGCTCATAGTTGGCATCCTTCCAAAAAAAAATTTCAACTTAGCATCTAAAACAACATAACCAGACAGTAACTTAAACCTTGTTCCCATAGGATTTGTAAAACTCAACCAAGTTACTTCTCTCAACCATAGGCAATAGAACACTGAAAACTACAAGGAAATAAAAAATATTTCATCTCTTTTCAAGCATATGATTGTCTGCTTAAAACACACTAATATTTCCCCATTCCGAAGCCTTTCATTAGCCAGGCAGCGTGCATTTTATTGATAAAGGGGATAATGTGTACCTATGACTAGGTTGGAAGACCTGAGCTGCCATTCTTTCTCTCTCTGTTGTTAAGCTTCCATTCACAAGGCTGGCAGGTCCAAATATCAGTGGTTGGTGCTTGTGATCGTGTGCTTGTGAAGCCTTTGCTCTTCCTTCTAGCACATCTTGGGCAAAAGTGGCACATGTGATTGGTGGTGAGGGCTTAGTGTACCGCGCACGAACTGCAGAATCACGATGCCAAGCTTCTGCTTTCTTGGCACGTTCATCCAGAACATCCCTAGAGAACTCAGCCCCATCCTAAAACCATGGCAAAGTGACAAACAATAGTAAATAAAACCAAATATAAGTCAGAAAAAATGTACAATTTTCTGTTCCAATTTAAAATATAATCTGTCTATTATATTTAACTGTATGTGCTACATTTGGTCTGAGTTCTAGCATTAGCTTCNCAATGAGTATTAGGATACCTCTAGATATCATCAATCACCCTCTTCAGCATCTCATCCTCCTCTACCTCCTTCAGCACTTCTTGGAAATCCTGCCAGTATGGTCTAGTTATCATTCTCAACTCCCTTTCCTCCTCATCCCATTCTCCTTTGCAGGACAAAGCATCAGCCACCCGGTTATTTTTTTCCAGCCTTATATAGGATCTCAAAATCATAGCCCAAGAGTTTTGCCATCCAATTTTGTTGATTCTGGGTGGTTATCCTCTATTCTAGCAGGTATTTCAAACTTCTCTAATCCGTATGCACAATAAATTTCTGCCCCAACAGATATGGCCTCCAGTGTTGAATTGTCAAAACTAAAGCCATCAATTCCTTTTCATAAATAGATTTGTTTAAGGACCCTTCAGACAACGCCTTACTGAAATAAGCAATGGGCATCTACATCTTCCCTTGTGTCAAAATCGCCCCAACACCTCCTCCGAAAGCATCACACTCGATATGGAAGGTTTGGCCAAAATCTGGGAACGTCAAAACTGGGGCAAAGGTGACAACCTCCTTTAATCGTGCCATGGCAGCTCTGGCTTGCTCACTCCACCCAAACTACCCCTTTTTCAAAAGTTCTGTCAAGGGTTTTGCAATCTTTTTGTAGTCTTTCACAAAACGCCTATAGTAACCCTCTCAAGGCTTTCAAAGTTCTCGGTTCTTCCTACTCCAAAACTGCCCTGATCTTATCCTGATCTATCTCCACACCCTTTTTCTGAAATATGGTGGCCCAAGTATCGGATCTGCTTTCTCCCGAACTCACGCTTCTTTTTGTTGGCCACCCACTTATGTTGTTCCAATCGCTTTAACACCACTTTCACTTGCTCCAAGTGATCCTCCCAAGTAGGGTTGTATACGAGTATATCATCGAAAAAAACCAGCACAAACCTCCTAAGATACTATTGCAACAAGTTAATTCATTGCACTCTGGAAAGTGGTTGGCGCATTGGTGAGGCCGAAAGGCATCACTAAGAACTCAAAGTGGCCCTGGTGAGTCCTGAAAGCTGTTTTGGGCACATCCCCTTCTCCCATCCTAAACTGATGATACCCAGCTTTTAAATCTATTTTAGAAAAATATTTAGCTCCTCTCAGTTCATCTAAGAGCTCCTATATCACCAGGATAGGAAATTTATCTAGTATGGTTGCTCTGTTTAATGCTTTTCTTTTTAGAGTATGGGCTAGTGTTAGGTCTGACTATTCCGGCTCTCAACATACTTGCCACCTATTTCTCAATCTATCCCTTCATGAGATGGGGGTATCTATATGGATGCATGTTTACTGGATTTGCCCCTTCCTTAAGGGGAATTCGATGCACCATATCTCTGTTTGGGGGCAGCCCTTGTACCTCCTAGAAGACGCTGGAATATAGCTTCAGAATTTCTTCCAGCTCCCCCTTTTGTGCTTCAGTCAACTCCATCTGCCCCTCTCTTTCCTCCTCCTTCTCAACATGACCCAAATCCCATACTAACGTCTAGGCTTCAACCACTATTAGCTTAAGCAAGGCTTTAGGCTCTACCAGTTGCCTGGCCAAAGTAGGATCTCCTATGATATTCACCCTCTTGCCTCCTTGGCTGTAATTCATGGTCATTTCTCCCCAATTTAGCATCACTTCCCCAGCTTGGATAACCATTCCACCCCTAGAATAACCTCAACACTGCCAAGCTCAAACAGGTGTAACCTCTCCTCAACGTCAGCCCTCCCTAAATTGATCACCACCTTCTCACAACACCCGCGGGTCTTCTTTCTTTGCCCATCACCCAGACTCACTTGATAAGGTGGCATATCTTCTATGGGAAACTTCAACTCCTCTGCTAATTTTCGACTGATAAAGTTGTAACTTGCGTCATTATCTATGAGTACTAACACTTTTCTTTCTCTGATCCTTCCTACCAATTTCATCGTTTTGGGTTGAGTCAACCCCTCCGCTGAAAACGCTGACAATTCCATGGGTTTCTGGTCCTGGTCTGCCACCTCTACACTTACGTCTTCCTCCTCGTCCTCCGCCAGGAGCACCACTCGTAAGCTCCTCTCTGGATAATGGTGGCCAAGTGCGAAAGGACCCCTACACCGAAAATAGTGTCCCTCTTCCTTTCTCTTCAAAAATTCTAGATAAGGAAGGTTTCTCACCATTCTTCCCCTATTATCGGTTCCACCAGTATTGCTCGCCCTCATGCTAGCATTCGTCGCGACCCTTCTCTCCTCACTGAACCAGTACTTTCCGTCCCTCTTGGTCGACTCTAATTAGGTCGACTGATTTCGTTTCGCGATACTACTCTCGTTGTGCGCAACCTACTTTTAGTATTCTTGAACCCATTCCAACTTCCCTCTCTCACTCCACGCGTAGTGTCCTTCACGTCCCTCGCGATTCTCATTGCCACCATCAGCTCTTGAGGATCGTGAGTTTGAACCTGCCCCTTAATGTCCTCGCGCAGCCCATCGAGGAAATATCCCAACATCTGCTCCTCTGAAACACCATGGGTTTGTCCCACCAAGATGTCAAACTCTCGGATATAGTCTTCTACGGTGTCCACCTGTCGCAGCGTCGTCAGTCGTTCAAACACCATCCCTCGATATATACCTCCAAACCGGCTGATCATGGTTGCCTTAAGGCCTTCCCAAGAACGATTCTTGGTATTTTCTTTCCAAACTTGAACCATTAACTCGGGCTGCCTTCCATGCTTATGTATGTGAGATTCACCTTCTCTTCCTCCGCCACGCCCTGAATGTTGAAAAATCTTTCCGCCCGATTGATCCAATTTAGAGGGTCCAACCCTTCGAATGTGGGTAAGTCCATCCTTTTCCTCCAATTATTCTACACCTCCTGGTGATCGTTGCCCCTTCTTCCTTATATTTCCTCCTCGCGCCTCTGCTGGTTGTCGTTGATGGAGGTTTGACTTCCGTCTGAACGACCATCGTTGTTGTTAGCCTACGTTTCCATCATCTCATTAGTTGTTGCAAATCCCGACGTACTGCGACGGATTCCGCCTTCATCCCCTCCATCGTGATCTCCAGTGCCTCCAATCTTTCCTCCGTGCTTCCCTTCATTCTCGTTTCGCGCCCAATTTGGAATTTGGCAGGTCAGACCAAATTGTTAGGTTTCTACTCTAGAAACCTCCACAGACTAACACGATTCAGTCTGCACACATACACTCAGCAAAAGAATAACCTTTTCTTGTATTGACAGTAACAAGAATACAATGTACAGATAATCAAATGAGAGTCTAACCTCCCCCACAGGATTAACAATTCCTGTTAGAAACACAATTGATCAAAAAGTCCCCCTCCCTCAACTAACCGAGTGCTATTTATACATTCTTATTCCCGTCTTTCCTAACTCCTAAGGCAGTTAGGCAATTAATGTTTATTTCTTCTCTTGTACACTCTCCATGTCCTAACATTGATCATCAGTGTTTTCTGTTGTTATACTCAAAAATGTGAAAGAAGCACTTGATTATCCTGGATGACAACAAGCTATGATTATAGAAATGTAGGCTCTTGACCACAGTAATACTTAGGAGTCGGTACCCCTTCCCCCAAGCAAAAAGGTGATTAGTTAATGATAAGTGTATACAGTTAAAGTCGGTCCTAATGGTGAAATTGATCAGCTCAAAGCCTAACATTTTGCAAAAGGTTACACTCAGGTTTATGGTCTTGATTATTGTTACACTTTCTCTCCTGTAGCCAAGATGACTATTATTTGTCTCTTCTTTACCATGGCAACCATTTGTCATTGGCCACTTCATCAATTGAATATCAAGAATGTCTTCCTACATGGTGATTTTGAGGAAGAAGTTTATATGAAGCAACCTTCTGCATTTGTTGATCAGGGATTTTTATTGCAAACTTGAGTTAAAATGCAATGAAGCAGACCATTCGATTTTTTACTGTTATTCTTCTCTTGGGAAATGTGTTAACTTAATAATATATGTTGATGATATTGTCATTACAGGAAATGATGTTGTTGGAATATCTCAACTAAAAGAGTACTTGTGTAGACATTTTCAAACCAAGAATCTTGGAAGTCTCAAATACTTCTTAGGCATTGAAGTATCGCAATCAGAAGATGGAGTTGTAATCTCCCAAAATAAGTATACTCTTGATATATTACAAAAAAATAACTATAGTATCATAGCCAAATTAGAGTCTATCCTAGCAATATTTATTAGACATATTGTTTCACCAGCAGACCATTAATAATTTAAAATATATAAATGAGTACAAACCTCAACTTACAAACCGGTTATAAGATTAAGTTAGACTTAAAATTCACTTTACAGGTAGCATTAATAATTTCATCAAATTCACTTTTTAACATACCAATAGGTAGCATTAATAATTTCATCGTCATCTCACAATTTTACAGTGAAATGAGAACTAATTTTGGATAACGGAAGTCTAAAAGGTGAAATTTGAGGTGTCACTGCAATGAACAGATGAAAATTATTATTCAAAGGGCCTTGGTCTTCTGCAGCCAAAATACTCTACAGCCACAATGCTGCAAAATATGAACCATGATGGCTGTTGCAATAGAAATTAACAAAGAGAGAGAGAGAATATGATCAATGGTTAATTCTTGCTGTTTAGCGAGAAAAGGATCTGTTTTCTGGATATAATGAAAAAATTATTCAGTAATTCAATAAGAAAGATTGTCATGATTTGTTAATATAATGAGCTTCGGTTGATATAACAATTAACAATGCATACCTTTGGTGCAAATTACAAAACAAAAGTGAGCACGATCGAGTAAGACCATAGTTGCACTCCTAGAATATGCACATATAATCAAATGAAATCATGGTCCACGTAAAATCTTGCACAATCTAATTACGAGTATATCAACTACAAGTTGTGAGTATATTAACTGTAGATTACGAGATTTCGTCCAAAAACATTTATCCCAACCCCATTTACTCTCAAGACAGGGAAGAACTCAGTTTACCCACAAGGGGTAAGTTTCTTATTTCCTGCACCTCGTGGATTATCATCCTTCCAGTCATCCCAAGCCCTTGCTTTCTCTTGTGCTGCATCGTCATCTTCATCATCATCATCTTCTCCAGGCTTTGACTTCCTATCATTGTGCCAAGATGAATTGGCTTCTTCCATGAGTTTGACATTTCTCTCTTGCCATTTATTCATTATTTCCATTTCTTTTAGTCCAGCTTCCTCAATGCTC